ACATTGAGCATAATAAACTTAGCAAGAACGGAAAGAAAATCGACAAAATCAAGCAAATCACAGTACACTATTATGAAACTTCAAAGGAATCTACATTTCCTTCAAGCGTCAGTGTTGGTGAGGATAGTGATGAGAGTGACAGTGACAATGACCTTGTTTTGTGTGATGAAAGTGAAAGCGAAAGTGAATCAGATGATGACAGTCATACTGTAACAATACAAGAAGGCACATCAACAAGAAGTGGCCGCAGAGTAGGACACTGGTCCACAAGATATGCTGATTTCGTTCAGAGAACAGGAACTCCTTATAGAGGTATAAATTGAATTGGGTTGGGGGTGGGTCACCTCTTATATAAAGTTATATGGGGGTGGGTCAAGAATTAACTAATGGGCTTAAAGGGGTGGGTCACGTATTTTCTTTCATGCTAAAACAAAAAAAATCTCCCCCCCCCCACCCCCCACATAAATAATGGCCGGTCCCTAAACCAAAACTTTGCTGGAGTTTGATCCGGGAGTTTGATACTCGATTTTGTCAGTCCGCAACGTATTTTCGACTTTCTTTTAACCTCAACATGGAAGGAAGAAATGTTGCCGTTTGCTTTCTATTTTACCTCTTGATATCTTCGCAATGCGCTTTTGATAACGTCTCCTCTGTCGCCACGGTAAGACTTCTAAGTAAACAAGAAAATTTGCTTTCTTTGAACAACGCAAAAATTGTACTGCGAACAAATTAAAGCAATTAGTTTTCAGTTGTTGAATTTGAAAGTGTTTTAGTGGAGAAAACAGAGAGCTTCTTTTAGAACTATTTAAATGTTTTATCCAAAGCGGCGGAGGACCAAGCTGGCTTCATGTTTATGCTTAATTTAATACTGAATATTGCCAGGCTTGTGATGAGGCCGGTCTTGCTCTTTAATTTCACTAGATTTTGAAATGATTTGTTTGTAAATACTGGGAAAACCTAGTTTCTAATTACAACTAACACTCGCTCTACGCCTGCGGCAGACAGAGGAGCTAGGCCATTATCAGAGACTGTCCACGAGAGGGTTTATTTTAAAAACGCGCACCCCTCGCGTGAGTAAAGCCTTACCTAGAGAGAATGATAATGAACTTCGAGGATCTTAAAAAAGGCTTCATCAATTCTGTGTCATATGTATGGTCAATGATAATCATCAATTTGTTTATTTTCTACTATGGCAGTCCGGAGGGCAAAATAAAATAATAACGATTCCCGCTGAGAGCAAATTCAGTTATTATATTTTACGACCATCAACACAACAAAATGTTTTCTCCACCAATTTCTACTATGAAACAGAACCCTAACACTTGCTTGCGAGGGTCACCTGACCTTCCTGGACGCAACGGAGTTAATGGACATAACGGGTCCCAGGCCGCGACGGCCGAGATGGAGCTAAAGGTGAAAAGGGCGTGGCAGGTCCTCCTGGTCCACGTGGTGAGAAGGGAGAAAGGGCACCAAGTGGAACAGACACCGATCACAGAAACTGGAAACAGTGCGCGTGGAGGTACTACGACGGGCGTGACATTGGACTGATTAAGGTTTGTCGATTCTAAAGTAGCAATACAACCTAAGTATGGAGAGTCAAAGATGTGGGCACTAAATATTAATTGATGGCGCTACTCTTGATTGGCAACACTACAAACGTTTTCAAGACATGTCAGAGGATTCCATTGCAAATTTGACCCTTCAGGATTATGAAAAATATGAGGAACAACGCATGGAAAAGAATGCTTGGAGGGTTGCCAGGCAACTCGCTGAACGTATTGATGGTGCTCCTGTTCTGTCTGATTACATTCACGCAAGTGTTTCAGAACGTGCAGAAGACTCTTTCTTTTTTAATGGTGAATACCTTTCAGAGTACCTGAAAAAATCAGTTAACAACAGAAATGATACGCCTGGATCAGCGTATATCCGTAAAATCTTGGAATTCAATGAAAAGCATGTCGAGTCAGGGGAGCTTTATGCCGAATTTTTGAAACGATCATGTAAAGAAAAAGATGGTTCACTGTGCAAGCACTGCTGAGTAACAGATGGACCTGAGGAGATAGCCTGGACTGGACCAGCAACTAAAAGAATACCAAGACTAATTCCAGACCAATCTACACTTCCTGAATTTAAATGCTTGAGCGTTCATACTTCTTCCAATAATGATGAAAATGGTAAGAAGCGTATTTCCGATGATTGGCAGCCACGATCAAATATCAAGAAGCTCTTCGAGCAAGGGAAGTTGTCAATTAATGCATCAGATGCTATCACAGAATTTTCCTCCAAGTTCATTGTAGACGAAAAACTGGTGAAGAATTACATTGAGCACTTGTCGCAACTGCAAAGTGTCAATGAGATCCGTAAGCAAGAGCGAAGAAAAGAAAAGCAAGTTCGAGCCTTAAAAGATGTACATTGCTATGACTGGAAAACACTTGTAGAGAAGGGGGAGCTTGACACTCTGTAAGTCCCCGAGTTGGACAAACACATTGAGCATAATAAACTTAGCAAGAACGGAAAGAAAATCGACAAAATCAAGCAAACCACAGTACACTATTATGAAACTTCAAAGGAATCTACACTTCCTTCAAGCGTCAGTGTTGGTGAGGATAGTGATGAGAGTGACAGTGACAATGACCTTGTTTTGTGTGATGAAAGTGAAAGCGAAAGTGAATCAGATGATGACAGTCATACTGTAACAATACAAGAAGGCACATCAACAAGAAGTGGCCGCAGAGTAGGACACTGGTCCACAAGATATGCTGATTTCGTTCAGAGAACAGGAACTCCTTATAGACGTATAAATTGAAGGGGGTTGGGGGTGGGTCACCTCTTATATAAAGTTATATGGGGGTGGGTCAAGAATTAACTAATGGGCTTAAAGGGGTGGGTCACGTATTTTCTTTCATGCTAAAACAAAAAAAATCTCCCCCCCCCCACCCCCCACATAAATAATGGCCGGTCCCTAAACCAAAACTTTGCTGGAGTTTGATCCGGGAGTTTGATACTCGATTTTGTCAGTCCGCAACGTATTTTCGACTTTCTTTTAACCTCAACATGGAAGGAAGAAATGTTGCCGTTTGCTTTCTATTTTACCTCTTGATATCTTCGCAATGCGCTTTTGATAACGTCTCCTCTGTCGCCACGGTAAGACTTCTAAGTAAACAAGAAAATTTGCTTTCTTTGAACAACGCAAAAATTGTACTGCGAACAAATTAAAGCAATTAGTTTTCGGTTGTTGAATTTGAAAGTGTTTTAGTGGAGAAAACAGAGAGCTTCTTTTAGAACTATTTAAATGTTTTATCCAAAGCGGCGGAGGACCAAGCTGGCTTCATGTTTATGCTTAATTTGATACTGAATATTGCCAGGCTTGTGATGAGGCCGGTCTTGCTCTTTAATTTCACTAGATTTTGAAATGATTTGTTTGTAAATACTGGGAAAACCTAGTTTCTAATTACAACTAACACTCGCTCTACGCCTGCGGCAGACAGAGGAGCTAGGCCATTATCAGAGACTGTCCACGAGAGGGTTTATTTTAAAAACGCGCACCCCTCGCGTGAGTAAAGCCTTACCTAGAGAGAATGATAATGAACTTAGAGGATCTTAAAAAAGGCTTCATCAATTCTGTGTCATATGTATGGTCAATGATAATCATCAATTTGTTTATTTTCTACTATGGCAGTCCACAGGGCAGAATAAAATAATAACGATTCCCGCTGAGAGCCAATTCAGTTATTATATTTTACGACCATCAACACAAAAAAATGTTTTCTCCACCAATTTCTACTATGAAATAGAACCCTAACACTTGCTTGCAAGGGTCACCTGGCCTTCCTGGACGCAACGGAGTTAATGGACATGACGGGTCACCAGGCCGCGACGGCCGAGATGGAGCTAAAGGTGAAAAGGGCGTGGCAGGTCCTCCTGGTCCACGTGGTGAGAAGGGAGAAAGGGCACCAAGTGGAACAGACACCGATCACAGAAACTGGAAACAGTGCGCGTGGAGGTACTACGACGGGCGTGACATTGGACTGATTAAGGTTTGTCGATTCTAAAATTAGTGCGATGAACGACTACAGTCAACTTTGGTTTGGTTAGATGATAATTATAAGGTTATAGGATGGAAAGTTACTGTCCATTGGCACCATTATGGGCTGAGGAAGATTCTTTTGAACAGAGATGTAAATCAATAATTGAGTTTTAATTTGTTGTTGCAGGATTGTCAGTTCACTAAAACCAAGGATGATACTGCTCTCCGTGTTGTTTACCAGGGAAATGTCTATTTGGGAGGGTGTGCTCTCTGCTGTAAGCGATGGTTCATCACTTTCAATGGAGCCGAGTGCAGTGGTCCCCTGCCTATTGACGCAGTACTGTGGATCCGAAATAAATACGAAGACAACCACAGACCCGGGTTGATTGAGGGGGATTGAGGGCTACTGTAACAAAATACACAAGGGCAAAATCCGAGTTGGAATCAATATTGGAAATTGTGCAAGATACGGGAATTCCAATGGTCAAACAGGCTGGAATTCATTTTCCCGTTTGATCATTGAAGAAGTTCCTCGCTCCCAGTAGCAAGCTAGTTGGAGATTTTTTTAGTATTGTCGCTTAAAAATGGCGGGAATTAGTATTTTAAGTAAAATATGGGCTTCTTAAAAACATTGCATGAAAACCAGGTCATTTTAAAACTCCTTATATATCAAGCATGTCACTATGATAGTATGAAGATGTCTTTTTTATATTAAATAAACATTAAAACGTCGATATTGTCTACTATTTTCTCGCGATGGACTTTAAAATCTTACACTACTACTCACTTCTATTTTCAGTGCAGTGAGTGAGTCGGTGGTGGGGGGTTATTGAAAAGCAACTTTTTTTCTCAAAATCGAAAAAGGGAGCTAGTCTTACAGTCAAACTGAATATTTAACTCTGTGAAGATCGAGGTCGTCTGCTCCACAGCCGTTCTTTGTCTCGTCACGCAATGCTCCTCCCCACAAAGGGAGACGAGCGTTGCGTGACGACAAAAAGGAACGGCTGCGAAGCAGACTATTAAAGATCGAGATTACCACGCAATAAAAGCTGGTTCTAAGCGTAAGTTTTTAATCGTTCGATGATAATTGCGACAATATTATAATTTTACAGCTTTAATTTAAAGCGATTCAAAGGAAATTAATTTCTGAAAAAAGCGACTAGTATTTATTCACTGCGCTATTTTAAACCTTACAATCTGATCAAAAAGGCACGCCTTCAATCAAAATATAGAAAATCAATTTGAGGTGCCTGGCCCAGTCTGTCCTAAAATGGGCATTCCACAAAAACCGTTCCCTTTGTTTAAGCCCTAAACTATGCAATAACCTTCTTTACAAACAAACGGCTACGGTCTCCAGAATAATTGATTTTTCAAAAGTAGCTCTTACACCCATAAAGTCACCTGAGCTGACTGACATAACAACCTTCCGTGTCCCATGAAGAAAACTAGAAAGACTGAAAAAATTATTGTATGGGGTAAAAAAGAACTATACTAGTTTGCCTTCATCCTCATTTAAGCCCAAACATTTGGCGGTGAAACCATGAACATTAACACAATAAATGCGGCAGGAAATAAGGCTTGCAGAATTAATTAGTACGTTTTATTGATTATTTGTCACATACACCGATTTACGATCGATAACCAGCCAAAGAGCACTGTTCTTAAATTCGGTAAGCCAACCAAGAACTATGACATCCTTGATCTAAACAACTCAATACCTGTCGAACCGTTTATACTAGCCACAGCATAAGAATAGAATATGAAATCAACCTGTCTTAATGAGATGCCTATTCATAACATCATCGGTGATAATGTATTCCTTTCAATCTTCAGGAGATCCCTGCCCAAAAACTGGCTTATTCGGTGGGCCCTATACTACTTTAAAATAAGGTATCATCGCGTCTCATCGCAAGGTAGGTGGAAACCGGACTTTTTTACACAGGAGTCGGGATAAATCGGATAGATCACTGATCGAGATATAAGTTCTCTACAATCTGCCTTTTCTACACCATGTCATAGGCATAACTGCAACCATATCATGGAGACGTTTGTGCATATGTTTTGTCACACACAAAATGAAAAATGCCTTAATAATGTGAACGGTGGTGAGTCACTTAAGAGCACAACTATTTTACCACGCCTGAAAAAGATTAATGCAGCGAGTTGCAGAAAGAAAAGTGAACAAAAGGATATAAAGTTTTTGTATCAGAATTCAATTTTATTGAAACTTATAAAGCTTTCTACCCGAAACTAATCATGCAAATATGCTGCATACTTAGAATAAATTTGTGGAAGTGCAAGCACTGATGTACGACACACAAAGATCGCAACAGAATTACTGCAGGAAAACCTACGGTGGGCCTCTCCTACCAAACTAGGAACACAAGACTAGAAAAAGCCAACTTTGTTCAAGGAGTGCTAGAATGTCTGTCAAAGAAGTTAGCACTGCGTGCACAAACTCTGAATGCTGCGCTGGCTAGGTACACACCCAATTACAAACACGATGTCGCAGAAAAATGAAAAAAGGAAAAGGCCAAATAGGAATTGATTAGGCTAATAAGCCTAATGAATTCATTTGCAGAATCCGCATATGGACGTCGTATTTGCCTGCTGGAATTTGCTTTGGTTTTAAAGCTGAAAACAATAAAAAAATCCAGCAGGGAAATGCAACGGCTGCAAATGAATCCAGGCTATTAAATTAAGCCACATTCTCAGGGTACTAGTTCCTATTTGGCTTTTTCCTTTCTTCATTTTTCCAAGACAACGTTATTGGAATTAGGTATAAATGTCAAATGCGCATGCTTATGGCAGTCACTCTTCAGAGAGATAAACCCGTCAAGGCTTGAATGTAGTGAGGTAGAGTGATCTGATAGAAAAGATGCTACACTAGCTCAATATGACGTAGACAAAAAAGAACAGCAAGGAAAATTGTTGTTCCGACCATTAAAGAAGATTTCCAAAGAAAAAAATACTATAGCAGTGCGAAGCGCCTTCCACCTTATAAATATCCCCCAAAAATTCACAAAACATCGTGAGGAGAGAAAATAAATATTTTCAAGCATATTTTTTGCCTCCATTGCAAATTATGACTAAAGCACATACAAATGATTTCTTTAAAGCTATCAGTGGTAAACGTTGTGGTTACCAATAGTGAAAACAAATGGACTTGTAGCATGTTTTTCTACAAATTCATGGGAAAAAGTAGACGTGATATTTTTGCATAGAGAACAAATCTGGCGTAAATGTATGTCAAAGTTGTTTAATTAAGAGGTGTCAAGAAAAAGCAAATGTAAAGAAGAAGTCAAATTTACGTCGCCGTTTCGCGCAAATCAACGAACAAATACCTTACACCCTCAAAATTTCTCCTGATTAGGTCAAATTTAAGGCCTTTAATTTGCATCCAATTTACGTCGGTTGCAAAGCTGTTTAAATCCAATTTTTCACCCAGTGTCAAAAACAGTAAACGTCGCGTG